ATAGAATTATAAATGTTGGAAAAGATCTTCAAGCTCATTGAGTTCAATCTTTGACCAAACACCACCTTATCAACTAAAGTTGGCCCTAGGTGCCATGTCCAGTTGTTTCTTGAACACTTCCAAGAATGGTGACTCCACCACTTCCGCAGTTGGTCTTTTCCAATGCTTGCCAGCCCTTTCAGTGAAGCAGTTCTTCCTGATGTCCAACCTGAACTTCCCGTGGCACAGCTTGAGGCCATTTCCTCTTGTCCTGTTGCTGGTTGCCTGGGAGAAGAGACCAATCTCCCCCTGGCTACAACCTCCTTTCAGGTAGGTGCAGAGAGTGATGAGGTCTCCCCTGAACCTCCTTTTCTCCAGACTAAACACCCCCAGCTCCTTCAGCCTTTCCTCACAGGACTTATTCTCCAGACCCTTCACCAGCTCCGTTGCCCTTGTCTGGACCTGCTCCAGCACCTCAATGTCCTTCCTATAGTGAGGGACCCAGAACCGGACACAGGACTTGAGGTGCAGCCTCACCAGTGTCGATTGCAGGGGGACAATCACTTCCTTGGTCCTGCTGGCCACATTGTTTCTGATCCAGGCCAGGATGCCATTGACCTTCTTGGCCACCTGGGCACACTACTGGCTTATGTCCAGCTGGCTGTCAACCAGCACCCTCAGGTCCTTTTCCACTGGGCAGCTTTCCAGCCACTCTTCCCCAAGCCTGCAGGCACTGCATGGGGAGATTGTGAAATGGGAGTGAATAATAAGTAAGTAAAGGTGAATAGAGTAAAACTACCTGACCCTATTTGAATTCTGTTAGTGGATGGAAAAGGGTGTCTGAAGTCTATTGCTCTTAAAAAAATTCTGATCAGAAAACTCAGAAGTGACTAAAATGATTTACTTTAATTTATTCTAATTTGTATAAAATTTGACATAAAAATTCTGAGTAACAGTTTGAACCTGCTCTAATGGATTTAAATATTTTAGATTCATTTAAATCATGCTTACTATGCCATAAAATGATTTTCATCTACTTAGCAAAATACATTTCTCTGAGTCACCTGCCATTCTCTGCCAAATGTCACATCTTTTCATCAAAACATGCTAATACAAGAATGGGGTGGTGAAGAAAAGAACCAGAATTTTATTACATGAGGAGAACAATAAGCTTTTCCCTATCTGCATTCTGAAAAACAGCTACAATGAGTTGGCTAAAACCTTCCAGGAAAATTAAACTGGAATCAGATGCTCAGCAATTGAAAGCACTGTAGTTTGTTAAAGTAGGAGATGTTGTGGAACCTGAGTACAAACTCATGTTGTGAGTTATTTTTATATATTTTGGAATTATGCTATTTGTTGAGTATACTGAATGTTTTGGAACAGGAACCGACACCACTGCAGTGAAAGGATGTTTTATTTACGATGGAGAAGAGAACAAACTCTTAGATTTCGTGCTGTAGAGAACATTGAGCAAGTGCACTCACACCTTTACATATTGAAGTGATGCAAATAGGAAAACTGTAATGTGTTATAAATGTCTGAATCAAGAGAGAGGTTTTTTTTAGTTGTTGGAAACTTTAGCAAAATAGATTGGCTGTTTTGGTTTCATCGAATTGTCTCTCACTTGAGGACTAAGTCTCCATACTTTATAGACTGGGATATCCTTTCTGAGGACCCTAATGGACATGAAGCATAAGAAGTGGACGAAATCAATGTGGGTTTAGTTTGAAAGGGCCTAAATGGTGAAGTAATGGTGATTGTGTGGTATTTGATAAAAAGTTGAACAAGAAATGCCCAAGTTATTAATCTCTATTATTAATCTATTGAATTTCTTTTGTCTGTGTTTGAGAGAGAGACAGAAGGAAAGGCAGACATGAGGATGATGGTTGAGTCTTTTCACTGAGAGATTCAGCTTTAAAATTCATTATTTGGTCTCATTGTCCTTAATGGGTCTTGGTTAAAAAACACTGCAAAACAAAGTAAAAGTCCATCCAAACAAAAAAGAAATCATATTTTTGAAGGAAAAGTGGAAAGAAAGGCAATAGGATTAAATTCTACCTGCATCCTGAACAGTCTGAACAGATATAAAAACAGAGAGGACAGTTGTCTGTAACATGCCATTGAACGCTTGCTTGCAAGTTACTCATCTCTGACCGCCAAAGGATTTATACAGAGGAATTCAGTGATATCTAATTAGGTGAATTACAGTGCAGGAAACTTCACCGTGAGGTGAGTGAAAATTTTTTGAAAGGCATTAAAGCAGTTTGCTATTTTCACACAGTTACTCTGCCAGCCTTAATATGCAAAACTGCCACTGAATTCCAGATGGCAAGATATTGCCACACAAGCTGGCTGTGCTGCATAAAGACGGTTTCACCCTGTTTGCAAATAGGCAGAATTAAAGTTGACCATTCAGCCTGAACTACTAGGATTTCCCGCACGAATGCTTGGTTTCTGAAGCTTAACACTGCACAACAGTACTGCATCACTTTAGTATAACATTTATTTGATGGGTATGACTGTCCAATAATACATATAAAAATAGTTATGTTAACAATAAAGTAAATTTAGGAAGAATGAATTTGTTAAGCATATGCATATTCAGAGTGTTCAATATACACTCTTATTAAATATGCAAGTTATATAATTTGTATTACTGAATAGTCTTCTAAAACAACTACGTGAGACTGTAATAAAAATTTGGTATAATTCAAGCTATTTCTGTGTGAATATAACAAAGCAGACATTTTAGAAATATCCTATTGCATTTTGATTATCACAGTCTAGTTTTACAGTACAATATGAGCTTTTTAGCCTGTGAAATCCATTAATAACCACATTAAACTTTTCCATATTGTGTGAATTGTCAGGTTTAAATGATTCTTTCTTTAAAACAATTATCTGTCTCTTGCTTCATGCAGTTTGTTAAACTGCTATGTCAATTTACAAAGACTGGGTGCGTTTGACACAGAAATTTTAGAGGGGAAGGAACTAATCATTGGTTTACCTAGCATGAGTGCTCAAGTGCGCATGAAGAAAATGAACATCGATTCAAAATATAAATGAAGAATTCTATTCATGAGTGGAATTACCGAAGTTTAACTTGAAAACCCTTTGCTTCTCAAATTCTAAGGAAACTAAAATCTGTTGGTAAACTTGTTAGATAGCTTAAATATGATATTTATTAAGACAAATGACAATGTATGTATTTTAGAGGACTACTTAGTACTTATGGAACACAGTTCTGTATTGAAATAGGTAGGGAACAGTGTGGTTTTGTTAGTTTTTGAGATGCCTTGGAGTGTTTGATATGAATGAGAAACCCCATGCAATGCACTCTTGAATCCTTTTGCCTGCTACAAAGATATACTCCTTTGGTTAAACATTTTACCTCTAATGCCTAAACTAAGAAGAAGATGTAACTGTGCTCTTCCATGCTTCTAATCTTTGGTAACCTGTAATGCTGTAAGTCTGTTGTTTTTCTTTTTGTGGGTTATACATTCATTCCTTCCCCTACAACATATATGAATGCAGAGGACAGTGAAGTCTTGCTTGGGGAATGTAGAATATTTCTGCCTTAGACTCTTACCTGTATACCTGAGCAAAGAACTGATTTAATGTAAATCTGAGAAACTGTGTGACATTACAACTAGGTTAGCAGCCCATTGTGTTGGGTTCTTAGAAATGAACAATAGTAGTCAGAGTCTGTTCCAAAGTACTTTTAATAGTCAGGACAGATTGGAGCAAATCATCATCGTTCTACAGGTGAGTGAATAACTGGAGCAAAGGGAGAATGGTCTAACTTTATAGTTTTTGGAAACCCAGTTAAAAAGTGGAACCATCTGAAATAGATAAGAAACTAAAATAAAGTAAGTCCTATAAAAATTATCTAAGAGAAGGCATCTAAAGCATTGGTTACCTTTGAAAATACAACACTGAAGACTAAGGTGTTTCCTAAAAGACGTTTCAAATCCACCTAAGGTTTATTACCTACCACCTCTAGACAATCAAGCTATAAGTGATTTATTCAGGGTCATACTGGTTGTCCCTTGAAGAAGCAAAGCCCCTTCACTAGCATTATAATCCTTTGCATTATTTGCAGAAGTACTTTTCTACTAGTAAGAATGATTTGCTTGCAGGGAATTTTTTGGCGTTGCAGAAATTCTCTGCCATCTGGCTGACTTTGTATTCCTATTCTGCTACTGGTAGTCTGGTTCCATCTTTTCTGTAAAATTTACAGTAGTGAAAGATCTGACTTCAGACATTTTAAAGACAAAAAAACCCATAGAAGGACCAAACCCAAATATAACATCCCTCACAAATGCACACATCATGTCATTTGGAAACCCCTATAATGTTATGAAGCAGCCTGGCCTCACCTTGAATATTGTGTGCAGTTTTGTTCACCACAATATAAGAAAGACACTAAGTTATTTGAGAGTGTCCAAAGGAGGGTAACGAAGATGGTGAAGGGCCTTGAGGGAGAGCCATATGAGGAGGAGTTGAGGGCAGGTGATCTGTTCAGCCTGGAGAAGAGGAGACTGAGGGGAGACCTCATCGCAGTTACAACTTCCTTGTGAAGGGAAGAGGAGGGGCAGGCACTGATCTCTTCTCTGTGATGACCAGTGGCAGGACCTCAGGGAATGGCCTGAAGCTGTGTCAGGAGGGGTTTGGGTTAGATACTAGAAAAAGGTTCTTCACCTAGAGGGTGGTTGGGCACTGAACAGGCTCCCCAGGGAAGTGGTCACAGCACTATGCTGCCAGAGTTCAAGAAGTGTTTGGACGATACTCTCAGGCACCTGGTGTGACTTTTGGGGATGGTCCAGTGCAGGGCCAGGAGTTGGACTCGATGATCCTTGTGGGTCCCTTCCAATTTAGCATATTCTGTGATTCTGTAATTCTGCGAGTAATACATCAGATATGTGACAGTTCTAGCAGAAGCTTCCATCGTGTTATTCATAATAAAATTTAAGGAGGGAATGTAAAGTATGTAACCTGTTGAATGTATTGCTTTTCAGGTATTCAAAGCTATGAATATTCCTCAGATCAGAAACCCTTCCTTACCTCCTCTGGAAGATATGCCTGAAGCATATCAGGTGAAGATAGCTCTTCTTGGTGCAGGACCTGCAAGCTTAAGTTGTGCTTCCTTTTTGGCTCGACTGGGCTATTCAAACATCACCATATTTGAAAAGCAAGAGTACATTGGTGGTTTAAGGTAAAAAAACAATGACAACAAAGCACTGTTTTCAATTATTGTAGAAAGCATAGCAAAAAATATTGTGCATACATAGTTTATGTGTGATCCCTCTACCTTTACCAAAGGAAAAGAGTAAAAAAATTTCAAATTTGAAAAACTTATTTTTTATTTAAATAATTATTAGAAGAGGTACAGTTACAGGTAAGCTTTAACTGAAAGTCTGGTGGCTATCTCCTACATTCTGTTCATGTGACCTGTTAAATTCCAGCGTGCAATTGTTACTAACAAATTAACGCTTTAGAAAATTACGTCAGGAACCATTTTTCACTTATCCAAAACAGTTAAAACAAGATGAAGTACTTGTAGCCCCAGTGAAAGAATATTTAAAATGCTTTAGATGGATACTAATTTCATGGAGAGTTTTAGATTTAGAATGCTTTTGTGGACTACCCTATGCAAATAAAGGTGAAAATGAATAAATCCATCATGTATGTCTGAACTTGCAGCTTTAGTAGACCATACTATATGCGTGAAATAAACCCCCTGCAATTCTCAATCTTCAAGAAGTTTCAGATACATAAAATACCTTTGTAGTTTTCCTATGTGGTAAACACTTGGCTGATGTTTGCAAGGTGTCATGTCCTCTACACTAGAAGATGAATTTTTACCACTGCAACAATGGCTGAGATCATATCTTGTAGGTTTGTTGGAATCCCTATATATAAAATAATTCAGACACTGACTGATGGATACCAACCCATTCAAAATCAAAATGAAATTTTAGAATGTAAGATATACAAGAGTACAAAATGGACTCACACTAAAGTGTTTAAAAAATGAAAAATATAAAAAAGATAAAGAAGAGTGATGCACTTACATTTTTCAATGCAGCATCACTTAAATCAATAGAGTTGACACGGTTAATGAATTTGATCCATAATGTCATAATGTCAAATACTTATTCAGTGCTCTGGAAGATAGAGAATCAATGCTGGAGAAGTTGAACTGATTACTTGCATTTTTCCCAGTGAGGTTCAGAATTAGTTAACACCTAGTTACCAAGGTGTTAATATGTAGGCATTTAACTGTGGAGCTGTTTTACTTGAACTATTTGCCATAGAGGATTGCAAATTTAGAGTATGAAATACCTATTCACCTGCTGAGTAGCACGTGTTTTCATAAATACCAGATTAAAGTTAGTTTTGTTGTTGTAAAGTAGTTAGAATTAATGAGACATTTCTAGCAATGAGGCTTTATTTGATAACAGGTTAGACTCAAGTGGGACGTGGTGATACAGTACAGTACTTTCTGCAGTTGTTTTGGTGCTTATAGAACAATGCTACAGTTGCTTAATGTGTGCTCCTGTATTTGAAGCAATGTGATCTTGAGTCCATCATGTTTTAAGTTGAATAACGTTTAGTGTGTTGTTTGTTCTACTGCAAAAACCCTGAGCTTTACCTGTTCTTTTAGTATCCTTAATTACTGAGGAGTGCATTTAAAAACTTATTTCTTTCTTTTGAGTCCTAATGAATCCATAGCAATCAAGGTCAAATTTTACGTCCGTTCACTGAAGAAGTTTTCACATCTGGTTTAAGGGCATCAATTCTTTTTGTCCTTATTTTAATCTTGAAACAGAAGGGAGGCTGGCCTGTGGCAGAAGTCATCCATTATTGCATTTGTAAGTCTTTGCAATACATCTTTTAACAAGTTTAGGTTATTGATGGGTGTGTTTTCAAGGCTTCATAAACTTATTGCAAATATCTAAGAAGACCAAATCAATTTTGTATTTTGAATCAGCTGTTTGAAAGGGGAGTGTTTGTGCCTTTTTTTAGTTTCTTCAGTTGTTTTTAAATAGGATGTTCCTTGCATCTTAGCTAGCTTTCATAATATTGTGACAATAGAAAAATGTCTAGTGATGGCAGTTCTTGTAGTGAGATATTTAAATGTAGTATGACTCCATGGTTCTCCAAGCATGTCTGAATTTTTCACATTTAAGGGCAGGTTTTCCTATGTTTCACCAGTTGTGTAAAATTTATGCTTTATGATAGAGTAGGCACGAGCACATCATGCTCTTGCTTAGAGGCCATGAACAGGCTTCACTGCATGTGTTCCTATCTATGCCGCTGTTTTACAACATGCCAAAGTACTTCTCTCACTTGGCCAAAGAGCTGTCCCTTGGGCAAAAGTAATTTGAGAACACTGAGAAACACCAAGCACCTGTCCAAGCAGCTCTAACTTGGATCAGATTTGTGGAAGAGATGACTGCAGGACACTGTTCCCATCCACTGCATCCCTCCTGCACCTCTGCCCTGTTTCCTTTTCCCCCCGTTTCTCCATTGCAGAGTCAGAGACCATCTGCTGCTGCTGAAAGAAGTTATATCAGAATTATTTATGCAACAGTTAACTTTCATAAAATGCTTATTTTCATGGTTAATGTGCATGCAAGTGCCCCCACAGAACTCTGTGTATTTAGATAGGTATATGTATGTGAGTATATTCACAGCACAAAACTGTAAATAAATGTTTAATAAGAGCAAAAAGTTGCTTACAAATTCTGACAGTGACATAACACAATCAGTTCTGTTCTGGGAGCATGTCGTGGAAATGACAGGCCTTCAACAAATATATAGGTGACTTGGAAAGTAAAACTTTCTTTTTTTTGATTAATTTCCTTATTGAATCACTGTTGCAGAATCATATTGATATATTAGTTTCTGCCTTAGACACTTTTTTACTTAGCATGACCTATGAAAGTTGTATTGTCTTGACATGTTCATTGTATGTGACATTTACAACACTTTACATTGCACAGTGGTCAAGAAAGGTGTAAAAAGGGCTGTATTAGAAATGATAAGGAAGAAAACCAGATTCTTATCAATATAATTAGTTGATGTAACTTAAATAAAACCCTTCTGGCCTGTCAAAGTTAGATGTTAAAGATGGTGTGGTCAATAACAATATGCAAACTGAAGCTGCAGTGAATCTCTTGTGCCAGTGCTTTGTTATGGAAATTACAGATTCATTAATTCGAAAACAGATTAGACTGTTTGAAGCTTAGAAGTATCTGGGGAGTGACTTTCACTTTTCTGCATATTTTGGTTTTATCTTCATTGAACCAAAGTATCTAAAATAGAGCTTCAGTGTGTTTACCTGTAACATGTTTTTACAGTAGAGATTTTGAACTAGTATACATAGATACCATTTCTTTGGAGATAAATATATATTTTTTTATGTCTGTACCAGTAGATATAAACTGAGATTCTATACTGTAAGAAAACACTGCAGTTTTCCCATTCTGTGGTTCTGGGAACTTGAAGATGTCATTCCTAATCTTCCCCAGGAGGAAAAAATGCCGGTTAATGAACATTAAGTCAAAAAGCAGACATGAAACCAACAGCTGACAGAATATTTGTCCATCCTGAAAGATCATAAAAAATTTATGAAGTAGAAATGGAGGCGGGTACAGTTTTAAATACCATTGCTCAAAATAACATATGTAACGCTTTTAAAAAATTATATGGGAACTCTGATTCTCTCTTATTGAATAGCTTAATGAAAGATTGCTAGAAGGTCACTTTGCTTTGCATGAAATCTTTTCTTAAATGGATGTCTTTAGTGTTACATATTCTGGTGAACAAAAGGAATGGAGCCAAAGCTCTTTAGAACTCAAGCTTAACATATGTTGAATGGTTACCTACAAGTGTGGGCAGCGTTGGCCTCAAGGTACTGCCTTCCTGGCCTATATTTTTAGCATTGGATGAATAATGCTGTTTTGTCATTCTAACAACTAAAAAGTCAGCAGTCAACCTTCAGCACATTTCCATTCATGTATGTCAAAATTAAATAAAAGGTGTGTTATAAGTATAGAATTTTTAACAAATAAAAAAATGCTTTCTTCCTAATAGTTAAAATTATTTCACAAACGTTTTTATTTCTTTTAGTATGTCTGAAATCCCCCAGTTCCGATTGCCGTATGATGTAGTGAATTTTGAAGCCAAGCTTATGAAGGATCTCGGAGTGAAGGTAATGAAAAATATATCCTGCCTATGTATAGCTCAAAGAAAAAAAGAACCAGAACTCTGCCAAAGATTAACAGCAAAATGTCATGCACATTAGTAAAGAACGATTAAAAGCTATGCTAGACAGAGGCAGGAAGATGCTTCCTCTTGCTCAGGGCATTTGTCTGTCTCCTGTCTGAATGCCACTAGTTTGGAAAAGGGCAATCAATAGTTCTCATCTGGCATGCCTGCATGTGATTAATTGTCTGTAAGAAACAAATTCCTAAATTGCTTTAGGGGTTCAATGTAGCTATTGGAATGATTTGATTTTTTTAATCAAGTTTTTTTCATGCAAGTTTGGCACTACTTAAAACTCTCATATTTGATACGTCTTTTGTTCCCTTTCCCTGAGTTTTTTTCTCAATGGTTTATCATGCAGTCTTGCATCCAAGTTAATTTTATAATAAAATACATCAAATTAAATGAAGTATTAACATGATCATCTGTTATAAACAATAACAGTCATTCAACTTCTTGGAAAGCAATAGTTATGTATTATTCTGTTAAATAAATGTGTGTTGTTTATAGATAATGGGAACATTGCTTTATTGTTAATTTAGGGGTTGAGCTGAAGATTTAGATAGTATTTACAATTGCTGAACATTTTAATAGAAGTTACAAACTTAGAATACATCACTGGATGAAATTTTTGAGTACCAGGAGGGATACTGTATTTTTAACACGATACTAAAGCACTCAGTGAAGCAAGAAATTTTTATTGGAATCTTTCATATTGGTTCGTATTGTAAAAGCAGTAGACTGTTGTCACAAGACCTGAGTGAGACATCCTGCCCAGGTTTTATAAAAATGCTGGTAAGATGTAAGACAAGGCTTTAAATGCTACAGGTCTTTTTTCTACTCTTAAATTCCCTTTACAACCCTTGAAAAGACTGACAGAATGGAGGTTCAGTTAGGGACTAAAACAGAGCATGGAGACAATTTTAGATGGTTCCTGGGAATTTTCTGCCAACCTCAGTTCCCCAGGGATCCCTGTTATGACAAGGTCTTCAGAATGGACTGATAGAGCCACCATGTCGTCTTGACCTGCAAGTCTTGTGCAGTTTTGGAGTGCAGCAGAGAATCTCAATGTAAATTTGCTTCCAAGCTCTGCCATTGGTTTCCAATTGACCCTTTGGCAAGCTGGTTAAATAAGTACCTTAGCTTTATACCTCTATAAGCTGGAAATATTTTCTGGTGTTTACTTAAAGCATTTCAAGTCTGTGGTGGAAGGTGCTGTATTGTGTAAATGCTCAGTAGTGGTGTTTATTCAAGTAATTCTGCTGAAATTAGTAAGAATTAGTCAGCTGAATAAGGATTACAGAGCTAGGCCCTAGGAGTATTATGAATCCCCACATAAAATAATATTGCCATTTAAATTCCTTCATTATGTTTTCATAACATATGTACACAATAGGATAAAAAAATATAATGACAATTTATGGAATATCTCTTGTGAGTGAGGATGAAATCTATTGTTTAAAGGATTGCAATAGTACGTGGCTTTTTGCACCTCTGATAAAATTTATGCTAAATCTCCAAAGGCAAAAAAGTCAGTGTCTTAAGTAATGTAAATTGTATTTTACTTCTGCCTTTTTTTTCCACCAATAGGAAAAGTATATTAAATGGAATATAGGCAGACTGAATAACAAAGAAGATACACAGTGACAGGAAGGCTAAACTGTTAAGATCACAAAGTATAGACTTTACACAGCAGAGCATCGCATTCTGTAAAATAAAATCACAAGTGATGTAAAAAACCTGGGGGAAAACGTTCAAGTTCAGGGAGCCTAAAATACGGAGATAAAAACACACATGCCCATGTCAAGGAGTACAAAATATCAGGAGAGGCATCACACACTATGTGCTCAAAGGCCTTGGGGTTAGGAGCGATGAGCAAAAGGTGTGCATATCTCCAATTGCATGACCTCTACACGGGGCCTGCCATAGTTGGTTGGCTGAACACACAGCAAACACTATTTTTAGTCTCACTCTTAAAACTACTGTAGTTGTTCAGCCTGTGCAGGGGCTGCTCAAAGCAAAATTGCTGGTGGAACATTGCTCTAGAAAAATTTTTCGACTTTTGGTTCTGGAAGTAAAAAGTAATTGAACAGAAACAAGTACAGATGATTATAGGTGCACTTTTGTTGCTCTGACTTATTCCTTTCAATAAATGAATACCAATCCCTGCACACTGGGCATTGTTGCTTGTCTAAATTAGAATTAACAATTTCAAGTTTGAAACAAAACTTATTAATAATTTTGAAAACCTTAGTTACTTTGCCATGCAAAACGTGCTGCTTCATTATGGTTGAGTAGGGCACGCTGTAATTTGCAAAGAGCATTCTTCAGGCTTACTGTCATCTCTGGCCCTGTCTTTTGCAGGCAGATTTTCTGAATCCACAAAAGCACCATTGGCTTCACTTAGGTTTTTTTGGCATAAAGATGTTCTAGCTGGTTGTCTCAGTGCAAAATTTGGGCTGTGAGCTTTGCGAGTGCAGCATAAAGCAGTACCATCCTTCCTTGGGGACTGGCATTGCATTCTACACTATTAGAGGCCTACCAAGTGCCTGATACTCTGTGGAAAAACATTACTTGTTTTTCTCTTCAGAACCCCTGTTAATACAGAAGAGTGTCATGTCATACTTTAACTAATGTCTGTGCAATAACCTAAACTGGTTGGGTTTTGGTCAGTGTGCCAGTTGATCTGTTCAGTACATATTCCCTAGAGGAGGTTCTTGCTTCCACATCATTTTTCTTAAATTCTGATTTTCAAGTGGGTATACAACCTTTTGTAATCAGCACTAAATACAGATATTTACTCACAGTAGAAAACTTACGATTTTCAGTTCTACTTCTGTAGTTTCTTCCATAGATGGGCTTTTTTTGTTTGTTTACCTTGCTTTAAACCTTTTAACTTAAGGGAGAAACCAACCTCTGGTGGCCCCTATCTGAGGATGATCTGAAGGTGCCTTTTACCTATATGTAATTCAGGCCTCTTGCTTTAAATCAGAGCCAGTCTGGCCTTTTAAGCCTGGCTTGGGGGGGGGGGGAAATTTTAATTTGCTTTATTTGCTCACTAGAAGATCTTGCAAGGTGTCTATATGCAGGACACAATAGAAATTATTTTCACATTATCACATTAAAAGCAAGCAATTTTTAATTCTTTCAGATAATTTTTAATAAAGGCCTTGCAGCGAATGGAATGACACTCTCTACCTTGAAAGAAGATGGGTATGAAGCAGTCTTCATTGGAATAGGTAAGAGCTCGCTGTCCTGTGTTTTGTCATCTTGAAATTGAATGACTGCCTAGGAATAAACTGGGACTTGTACCTGTCTTAATAGCATGATGGGAGATACCTTCAATTTGATGCATTATGAAAGTATGGAATAGAAGAAAAATTTAAAAAAACAGGAAGCTAAAGCTAGTGGCCTTAAGACAGTTATTAAAATTATCACATTTATATTATAGATTTTTAAATAAAATGTGAATGTAGCTGAATGGGTTGATATATTGTTTGTTTAAATAGTTAAAAATGGATGAACTAAAAATTTGCTTGTAATTAATTGCCATATTGGCCTAGAGCGATACACAAGTTCAGTTTTCAATTTTTGTGAACAGCTTACTACACCCACATAATTACTGAGTCTATATGTAAGCCAGTGATACCATGCTTGGTTGCTTTTTTCTTTCGTCCATATAAAACACGTAACATCCTTCTGATAGGCTGTAGTGAAATGTACTTGTGGGGTGGGTTAACAAAATAAACTGACTTTGACTTATACTAAAACTGGCATCATAGGTCTATCTTCTCTCATATGCTAGAGAAGTCCTGCACCTGCCTGCTATTTGAATCATTGCTTCTTTTTAATGTTAGATTAGAATTGTTATCCATTTACAAGTATTTTGAAGTACAGCTGGACCCATTGCTGCCATATGATAGGCATGTTGAGCAGGTATTGTCTGCAGTTGGTATGAGGCTTAATGCTCTTTATTGATCTAGACGTTGCCTAAGTGAACATAATAGGAAACAAGTTGTCCAACTGTTCCTCCTTCCTATTATTGATTACAGAGATGTAATTCTTAGTACAACGACAACTGTTGTTTACCATCTGGTTATGCAGTATAATAAGCTTTGCAGGTCTATTCTGTCGTGTAATGATAGTACAGAGTGCTGTGATTTATATAATCCTAAATCCCTACATTGTGAGTGAACTTCCATGTATAGGAATTCTGATGTGTCATATTTTGATGTAATTGTATACAAGGCAAATGGTCAAACTTATATTCTTTATTGTTTTCATCTGTGTCTTTCAAACTGCATTGTGAAATCTCACCAATGAGGAATTAATTCATAACCATTTGTCTTCTGAGAGTCTAGCATTTAGGGAAAAAATCAATCATATTTTGAACATCAGCATCATTCCTCTGCATTTCTCACTCAGAAGCTTAAATAACAGTTCAGAGGTTAGCAGAAATGACCACTGAGCACTACACATAGGATTGGAATGTTTGGTTTATGTATGTGGGTTTATTTTCTGACCTTAATAAAGTATCCTAATATAAAATATTTTTGGCTAGAAATATAAATATAAATAGACAACATTGTTCCATACAGATGCTAGGGAAAGGGACACAGCCAGAAATTTAATAGACAAGAGAAGGTATCTGAAGCATAATTCTCCTGTAAATCATGTGTTCATTGATTATACTAGGAAACAGAGGGTATAAATGCTAATGAAGGATTATGTGTACCTACAGAGTTTTGTTATTGGAAGCTGCCTTGCATTTATGATGAAGTTAGTCCCTCTCTGTACCCCCATGTGTGCCTGTCATCTCACTTTTACAGTACTGTGTAAGACACTGGACAGTAACATGGCCTTGCATACTGGTAATGAGAGGTTCAGGATGTGCCAAGGGGTTGCATATTTGTAGAGTTAGCTATATTAATGCAATAGAACATTTTTAAGCTCTCAGCAACAGCCGTTTTTCCATAATGAGTCTGTACTGCATTTCTTTTTGTGTTCTTTGCCTACTGAACAAACATATTCAGTGAAATGTCACATTTGAACATTACCCTGAATCATAGGGGTAAAATAATTAGAGAGCTACTTATATAAAATAGATATTTTTTTATTGTAATTTGCTTCTGAATGGCTTTGTACCTTGATGGAAAATAAATATGGTAGTTTTCAATTCTCCCTGTTAGTGGAAAAAAGGAAAAGTAAATGAGTGTGTAAAAGAATATGAAGTCTGTACTGGGACAAGAGAGTACAGTGTGAGAGGATTTTTTCACAGCAGTGTGATTTTTGAAGAGCACACCTTTGGTCTTGCAAATGAGATGAAACTCAAGATTTTATTAGTTGGGATTGTACAGGAGTTCGTGTGTGATTCATGAAACAGAAGAGCACTTGTAAGTAGCCAGCTGCATGAGAGCAAGTAGAGTTGCAAAGAGAACTTTGAAAACTATTTTCCACACAGTTATGCATCAGGAAAATTCGGTTGCCTGTGGGAATATTGTGTGCAGTAAGGAAAGTGCCGTCTGCTACTGGGTCTGTGGAAGGTAAAGCATAGGTGACTGAGGTTTGATCACTTCTAGCAAGTGACCATATTGAAGGAAAATGAAGAGCAGAGGCTTTTTGTGAGAGCTGTTTGGAAAGGTATTAAAAGTGTGCTCTAATCAGTGTATTTGCTCTGTTTAAGACTTGAGTGGTAAAATATTCCCAAGAAGTTCCCTAAGGGATACGGGTTAACAGCCTTACTCTGAAATGGGTAATAATAAAAGAGGATGCTTAGCTTCAAGTCTTTGCTTACTGAGGCATTGAGGCTATGATCTTTTATCTTAAAGTGAAGGATGCTCTCCAGCCAGTAAGTCTGGTGCATTTAAGTCACTGGTTGAAAGCTCAGAAAAACACCTTGTACTAGACTTGAAAACAAACAGGTGGCCAATATGTGTCACCAACCTGTTACAACCTCTGGAGTCTCAATTTGAGTCACACCTTACCTCCATCTTATCTTTCCTAGTTAGGCTGTGAAGACTGATGTGGAATTTGGGTGTACAAAGACATATGTTGAACTAGAAAAGACTAAATCCTAGGAAAAGCTTTCATAGTTACCTGGATAAGCAGCAGCGATCAAACTGGGTAATGGCATACTGGAAACCAACACTGCCCTCTGATAGCAGAACCTCAGAACAAATTGTATGTGAATCTTAGTCATGGGCCTATTACCTTTTTTACTTTTGGTAGCTCTTTCCTTCAATCTCCATATTTTTGTCTTATCTGAGCTGTGTTTTATCTAACTAGTTCTTAATGCGGTACCTCTGTTTATTTCTAGAGGACTATTATGTGGATTTTCCCTCTCCATCATTTACTCTCACATCCCTTCAGTTTTCTCTCTACAAAGATGTATATTTTGCAACATCTGTCAGTAGACGTATCTGGTGTTTTGCATACGGTGACCCAAGAGATACACCATTCTTCTGGTTTTCTCCAGCAGTCCCGATTTCAGATGCAGCTAAAAGTATTAAAGCGTAGTCCATGAATCTCAGCTTCTTACATCAAAAGTAATGATAGACAGTAGCATGCATGAGAATTTTTTCATAGGACTAAAAAGTAGCAGCTAAACAATGGGAAGAACAATATTTCGGGAGACTCTACTATATTTTTTTAATTCTTTTTTTCTTCGTCATTTAGATTGGTGCAATTTCTAAATTTATTCAGTCTTATTTCAATGGCCAGTTAATAATGCTAATTAAAAATTAGAGAGGAATTAGAGTCCTTAAAATTTTCATCTTAAAATTCCAGCTATCTTCCATTTACAAATATTTTGGGTTTATTTTATTACAAACATTAATTAATAGGAATTAAATCTCCCAATTAAAGATTCAAAGCTTTAAAACTAACCTCTACAACTAAGCATAGAAAAACCCCCATCCTGTCCTGATTTGATAGATAGCTCAACATACTCTACCTAGAATCTGCTCTTTGATAAGAAGTGTTTGTGAAGAATTTGTGACTGAGCTGACAAATCAGTTTGAAAATTTTGCTATTAAAAAAAAAAGTCTCACATCAGTTGCTGCCTTCTGTAAACACCACAGAGACTCAGGGCAACAGAGAATAAGCATGCTGAGAGCAAAAGGGAGAAATCAATGAAGGGGTGAGGGGCTAGAGGAGAGAGCGCATGGTCCTCAGAGACAGCAAAGTAAGGCAGCGAAGGGCATCTTATGGAGAACAGAGTAGTCTGAACACTTTGTGTTGAACACTTTGTGTTACTGTGTCTCTTGGTGGACTTTCAGGGTGCAATACGATTTTTACCAAAAAACAAAGGCTATGTGTATGTGTCTCTCTTGGCTATCAGAGCAAATGCAGAAATACCAGGCCTTTATTACTCATCCTTCTAAAAGTTCAGCTACATTCTTTGGAAAACAGGATTCTGTGGTTCTCTCTTTTAAGACTCCACAAAGCATTGTATATTCTTTTTGAAAGAGAAAATACAGAACAATTTCTTTATACAACTACTTAATTGAATGAAAATGAAAGAACTAAATATTTAAAGTATTTAAGGATATTTTTCATGTGAGATTCAAATGAGTACACAGAAATGCTATCACTGTAAACATTTTCTCCAGACTTTTGCACAAACTCTTATCCTTATTCTATAGCATTTTATCATAACGTAGGTGTTTTATGTAACATTAACATTCTCTTTAGATGAATATCAGATAAAAATATATCCTCAGAGATTTTTTTATTTGGTAAAATATTTTAAAAAATCTTAAGCCCCCATTCCCAGAAATTGCTTAAACACTTCAACTTCAGTGTTTTCAATTTTAAACTTGCAGCACTAACTAACTTTCTAGTTAACTTCGCATTATAGGGCAAATGCTGCTTGTGATAAAGCTTGATTTTTTCTTCCTCCATCTTCTGATGTTGAATCACTATAAAGCTAGTTTTATTGTATAAGAATATCAAGAGGTTCTATTAAATACTGTGAAATGGTGGGTTAGATGAGCATTCAAAGTAAATCTAAGGAGATTGTTGCTTGGATGTATCCTAAATAGTATATCCTGCTTGCAAGGGTTAAAACCGTACATTAAAAAAAAATAAAATTAAATCCCTTGTGGAAAGAACCTTTGTCATAATTGCAGTCATTTATAGTTAATTAACATAACACTCAAACAATGATATAATCAGATCATGCCATTGATTAGAATGAAATTACACACCAGAAAAAAGAAATTAAAAGTCCAAGCATTAA